GTGAATCATTAATTTTTGACAGACACCTGTACAAAATACTTGGACAAAAGCCAGCTAAGATTTTCTGTTATCGTGCATGTTTTATGAATCTATTCACGTCTAAATGCAGCACTTTTTTTTGCAATGAGGCATTTGTTTTTATACTAAAATATCTAAATTACTTTGAATAAAGCTGGAAATTATGTCCCTTAAAATAATTAAACAAATAAGGCACCAATGTTTTTGTAAGATATTTACATCTTTAAAGGACATTCGGTAGACTGATTCCCCACTGATGGTTCAACCCCAAAACTTGTTTGTATTCAAAATTAATTATGACAATGTATATTTATATTGAAACAAACTATGTTAAAGGGAATTATATTATATAACAAAGGGCAAGGTCACCAGAGTTCAACTATGTTTTATTTTCTGTTTCCAAGGCTGCTTTTCAAGAGAATGTAGGAAGACAAGGTACCTTTCCATATGGTATAGATATTTTAACTACAGCTGATTATTTTGCTGTTGGAAATAGAACAAATACTTACCTAAATATAAGGTAAATTATCTTTTTGAATTTATTCACCTGTATGTTATTGACTGTCATTTGCACTGATCTATCAAGTGAGTATAGTAAACTAAATTTTATACCACTGCTAACTCAATCTACAAAATGCTTGATTCGATGCCATATTTGTTTTTATCATGGTTATGATTTTTTCTGTTGCCTTTTTTTCGTATTAAACAATCACAAATTTTGTGGATGGTACATGCATAATATATTTTGAATTATTTTTCCACAGAGGTGTACATTTCAAGTTTATATACACACTTAGCCTACCAATTAAGTGCACTGACTGATTACTGTATTTCTTGTCTATATTTACAGTGTGTATGTAGCACAGTATCCAGAGTACACTGTAGCTTTAATTGATCATTTGGTTAAAGTGAAACTCAATCATTGGGATGGGTAAGTCTGTCTCTTTATGTGCTAAATTAGAAGAGAAATGTCAACACTGTCACTGATAGAATAGTGGTTGTTGCATCAGATTTATAATCAGTGGGGTCCAAGTTCAAATTCTACCTGAGGGTAAAGACCATGAAGTGAGTTAGCAAGTTTTCTTGGTGAATGTGTCACAGACTGAATAAATCAACTGGCCACAATTCATTCATTCATTAATGAATTCAATTATGAGAGTGGTATCTATAATTATAGAAAGATGGTCACAAGCCCTGCCACCTTTATTCCAATCATGATTGTGGTTTCTGTGGCAAACTGCGCTATATGTCTGCACTTGCACTTGTTATATAAAGAAGTCGGAGACAACAGTGATAATCAGTGTTTAAAACTGTTGTCAGGCACTTAATTAATGACATTTCACCAGTTTGGTAGAGTAGACAAACTTCTTTGAAGCGACATACATAATAAAAGATATCGACAGATTAGTAAAGTACACAGTCCAGATTGAATGTATGTAAATATGCATCAATATTTCTATAATTTGTTTTCTCTGTTCAGGGTAATAAGAGAATTGGCTTCTAAAGCTTTGCATAATTTAACACCCAAGGCACCAGAATACATGGCAAAGACAGGTAATGTTTATGTAACATGATTTATAATGTTAAAACTGCTTTCTAGCATAATATGATTTCTAATCTTGCCTGGATGAAATAGTTCCAGTACGGGATTCATGATAGTACTTGTCTGTTGGGGGTGGACCATTAGAAACTTGAGGAAAAAATATGCAGGGATCAATAAAAAAAACCTGCATGCTGGAATTTTTGAGAAAAAATATTCCTCATAGTATTAACAAAAATTATAGCAAATTCATCAGGGGAAATAACAAATTAACCCAAAACTAAGTCGTCACAAGAAGTCTAAAATACAAAAACATTCTTGTTCATATTTATCATTGTACATTGTATTACAGTTGTGCCGTTCCTGATACCATTTGCAACTGGTATTGATTTGAATTACAGACATGGCAGTGTATTTGCACTCGCTGAAATAACACATGCATTGTATAACATTGCACTGGATAATAACAAGTAAGTCTGTGTCATGTACCTCTTACGTTACCCTGCACTATGTCAAACACAATACATATGCAATGCAGTAATTCTAAATAATGTGTCAACATCATACCTTATCTAATGCACACTTTCAACCAGATTTTGACTTAGAACCAGAAAAATAGAATACACAATCAGTTATTATCAAGTTATTGCTTGTCTTCTAGAATACATCCTTCCTAACAAAGCATCTATATTGGTGAAAGAAAGGCCATTTATAGGATTTTTTTTGACTTGTAGTCGTCTATCACAACTAAAAGTGTAGTCTTTATTTGTTTCCAGAACTGTCATGGATTTTCTGGACAAATCATCAATTGAAGGTTTGAAGAATATTACAGTAAAGGTATATAACCATATATACATTTGTAACTATAGAAACTCAGTTAATTTAAAATCTGATTAGTCAAACATTTATTTGTATTTGTCTTTTTGTAATGATTGGGAGTGGGTGGAGAGATGATAAATAGAGTGATCTTGGCACATAAGTGTGCATTGCACATTGTGTGTGTTCAATTTCATTCCCACATTGTTTTGCATTATATTATAACATGACGTGCATATATTGTAATGTGAAGGGTACTGTAATTTGTATGGATGTCCCTCATCTTAGTCAGTAAAATGGTTTTAAATAGTTGATATTGTAGAAATGTTCATGCTTTGAAATTCACATAAAACAAGTTAAAAGTAGAGAATTTAAATAAGAATCAACATTCATTTTAATATTGTTTAATATTGGTTTGGGATACTTTTAGTCCCATCCATTCGTACACGTTGCGTGCACCTCTATCTCAGACATGGCTTGGCTGATCTTCACACGTACATGTATATCACACATCTTGGGATACATTTGGATATCCATTTGTTTCACAATCAGATTGAAGATGGTCAAAAAGCAGCCATTTTAGTGTTAAAAATTCAGCAAAATCAAACATTTATGCCTTTCTAGAACTTGGTCGTGTATGGATGGATTTTTCGGTAACCGTTTTGTTTACCACCATGCTGGGCTGACACTGCCATAGTCATTATCCAGACTGTCACAGTGATTTATTTTCGTTTCTGTTTGGAATGATTATGCAAATTGATCTATATACCTCTTATTTTTTTCAAATCATAATTATCTTTTCTTTCCACTTAGATGCATGAAGCTAAGATGTTCCGTGGTCTTAGTGGTGAGATTATGAGACCTGCAGTTTGTAAATTTATTGGTAAACTCTCACTTTCTAAGTTGCCATATCATGACGATAGTGTTACAGGTAAAGTAATGAGTTTGTATGTCAAATTTGACATTGGAGTTCAAATGGTTGAAATCTTCACCGCTACTGTATTTTTTTCATTTTTTCCCACTCACACAAATGTTTGTCTCCTAAATTGAAGAAGTTTACACTACTATTACAACACTACTACTACAACACTACTACATCACATTATTTTCTATTTCATGCTATTCGCATTTATTTACTTGTCTACATATTGTTGTTATGGAAACAAACATTGACATTGTATGGTCTATAGTCTATTTCTGATGTGGCAAGTAATTTTCAACTGTGCCATTTTTATATAATTGCTATTCATTTTGCAATCAATAAAGAACATGTAATTACTCACTATTTTCACAGAACTTTGGCAGACCCTTTTAGATGATAATATCCAGTTTGGTCATCAATTTGCGGACCAAAGGATACAAGACAATGCTCTGTCTGCATTACCTTCACTATGCAATGAATACTACAGACAAAATAATGGATTAGTTAAACCTGGAATTCAAGGTATGATATTATAGTGCCCTCTTGCATTATTAGCCCCCGCCAGATCTGGTATCCGGAGGGGGCTTATAAATTGAGTCGTGTCAGTGCATTCGTATGTGCATATATGCGTTGCCAGCTTGTTCTCACATGTTTCATCCAATTCTGTTCAGATTTGGTACACAGACAGGTATTGATGGTCGACAGGTGCACATCAAAGTTATTTTTTTATTGAATAAATTTTGAGTGGTTGGTGGCCATTTTTGTCTCCAAAAATATATAAAAAAAATGTTTTCTAGTCGTTACCAGTTTTCCCAGACATGTGTCTTTCAATTCAGTTCAAAGTTGATACACAGACAGGTAATAAGGGTTTACTAGTGCACATCAAGTTATTTTTTGATTGAATAAATTTTACTGCTTGGCAGCCATTTTTGTCCTAAAAAATCTAAAAAAAAAAGCTTTTTCTCGGATAAGTGTCATCAAGTTTTGTTCAAAGTTGGTACAGGGGCAGGTAATAATTGTTTATAAGTGCACATCACGTTATATGTTGATCAAGTTATTTATTTGGCTTTTCTGAGACAATTCATATTTTTGACCCCATCGCCCCTAAAATTGTTACACATCAATTCTGAACAATTAATAATTGAACTTTAGTACAGCGCATAATAGATAAATTCACTCTGACACAAACCCACTTCAATATCATTTTTAAATTGTTTTCTGAGCGGGGGCTATGACATGTCATGTCTTGTAATACCTCCCTCCAGTGATAAATATGTGACTGTCATAATCACTAGCAATTTTGCAGTGACCACTATACAGTGATATACCAGCTTAACTTGAAATATAAAGTATAATATTTACAATAACTGAAATGCGGGCACCCTCTTGCATTATAAGCAGCAAACTAATCTACACAACAAGTTTCGATCATTTCTGAGTTAATTAAAAATGCATATTGTCTTGCTTTATTATAATACCTCCCTCTAGTGGTAAACACTAGATTGTCATCATTAGTAGCCATGTGCTGTGAGCATCATATGATGACAGACCAGCTAAATTTTGAATCACAAACTATTATTATATTTACATAAATTAAAATAACATCATATTTCAGACAAAGTCATCAGCAAATACTTGAGTGAATTGAAAAGTAAAGAAGAAACATCAAAGATGGGTTTTGCCTTGGCTTTAGGATCACTTCCTAAATTCATGGTTGCTGGAAAGTTTACTGAGGTGAGACAAAAAACAAAACATACAACTTTTAGAACTAAGATTATTTTTGTGAATATTGATATTAAATGAAAATTCTATTATGATAAAATAAAACAATATACCATATAGATGAAATTTGTGCATTTTCTCATTGAAAATTCCAATAATCTCAAAGTAAGTACATTTGTAGTTCAAAATATTCAAATGGCTTTGATGTTGAAATTAAAAAGGAAAGTTGCTTGTCAATTAGACAGGTTGAAAAAAAAATTAAAAAATTATTTGTCCCATTGACCAAATCTGTCGCAAAGTACATTTACCTCTCAAGATTATTGTATCTTTGATTCTTGGTTAATTGTAATTCAGTTTCACATCCTTTCAACCAATGACTCTTCGTTTGGGAAATGAGTTAAATCTTTGTATCTTTATACGCTGTAGTTTTGCAATAAGTAGACTTGTCTGAATTTTGGTCTCTGCTTTAGTCACCCATTCTAAATCAATTCTAAATTTGTTGTATGAGTGGTAAATGTATGAAAAATCCCAAATTTCTGCTGTGTGTTTATTATTTGATCAGTTTTGTTTTTCTTTAAAGTGACATTGAGCCTTCATAATGCTGTTAAAACTCACTATATAGTATATTGAGAGGTATTTGTGGTTGATCTACAGTTAGTGATTCAGCTAAAAAAACGGTTGATTCTAGAAGTATCCCACTATTGCTAGTTGTGTTTGTCAATCTGTTTTACAAATATTGAGTTTGTTTTGGGTAATTTTTTTATGTGGAGCAAGCATTATACCTTGGATGTTATTGTAAAGCCTGCAAAACAAAATCTCACCAGACTCAATTTTATTTGTTATTCAGGTGATGTCAGGATTGGTTCAAGCTACACATATCAACCAACAAGATGCTGCCAAGATGGTAGAAGCTCGACGTGATGCTGTGAAAGCCCTAACATGTCTGTGTACAACCATGGGTGTTGACAGCAATGGTTCACCTAATCATATTATATGTAAAGATAATATTCTATCTCTGTATGAGGCATACTTTCTAGCAATGAATGATTATACTCTAGATAGTAGAGGAGATGTTGGTACATGGTAAGTTGTCTTGATTGTGTTCTTTACAATTGACTATGTAAGCCTACTCTGGTTTGATTTGTTTTATGTAAGTCTGTTTCATACCCATAAAATCTCCTGACGACATTATTTCAGTTGATTTTTGTATGTCTGTGAAGACTTTCTTCAGATGATATGTTAGCTTTTTAAGAATCTGTGTGGCTGTATACTGCTCTCTGGTGGCAACTTCAAGAAATCATTTGTTTATTTTGTATTATTTACTCTGAATTGTAGCATTTTTTTTTTTAATTTTATCTTCAAATTTTTAGCTCGTCCCTTGTTTTCATCAACATAAATAAAACAATATTTTTATGATGCAAACAACTTTTTTTTTCACCAGGGTGAGAGAAGCTAGCATGACTGGTCTGTATGAATTAACAACAATGACTGTAAAAGCAGATCCAAATCTTATAAGTGAACATATGTAAGTACCGAGTGTATCTTGGGTATTTACAAGTATTGAATACTGTACTAGGAGTTTTACATGGAAGAGCCAAAAATAGAAGTTTTATTTAGTATAGCCCCTCTGGTGGTGAATTATTGTTTGTTGACATAGCAATTACCATATAGTGAACTCTTTCTGAAGTCGTTTTAGATAACAATAACATTATTTGTTGATGACTGCAAATCAAAAGAATAGTGATGGATTATGTACTTTGTGCTCCTCAGCATTATGCTTGATTACAAAATAGTTTGTCAGATAAATATTTATAATTTAAATGAATTAACTAATTCAATTTATCCATAGATGTATTATTTTGTAATAAAACAAACTTTAAGATTTCATATGTTGCTTTTAATTTATTATTTCAAAAATATCACACTATCAGTTAACTTTTCTTTTTTTTTTTTTGTAGTTGTAAAAAAGTTTTCTGTTGCCTTATACAACAAAGTGCTGAAAAGATAGACAGGACTCGGTCGCATGCTGGTGAGATTTTACTAAGAATGCTGTATTTTGATGATCCCCCGATTCCAAATGTTCTTCACCGAGATAAACTAATGACGATATTTCCAAGGTAAAGTATCGTCAAACAAGTTAGTATTTTTAAACATATGTATGTAAGAATCATCACATATTTCAGTTTTCGCTTATCCTAAATCATTTATTATCATTTCTCAAACATGCGTCAACTGATTTTGGTCAAACTTGTAACAAGAACTTTACGAGACATTTATGCACATCAATTTATTTTCAATTTAATCCAACTGGTGATAATTATATATACGTGAAATGTGCCTACATCCCTTGATACCTGTCACATACTATTTCTCTGAGATGATTTAATCAAACTGATTTCAGTCAATGGTATGATATTTCACATGAGTTGCAGATAAGGTTTTTTCATTGTCCCTTTCAATATGGCTGTCGTTGTTACCTTTTTTTTTCTCGATTACACAAAGTACAAAATATTATTGACAAAAAAGAAGCACTTATAGCCAGTCTAATTTATGTGTGTCTTTTCCATAGGAGTGATCTGAAGGAATTAAACTGGGGTGCATCTTCCGATACATTTCCAAAAATAACACAAGCCCTGAGCTGCCCTACTTATAGGTACAGTCTACTGCTTGGATTAACAGTTAGTGTGGGTGGATTAACTGAATCACTGGTAAGTTAGTATTAGTGAATTAACAGAATTTCTGGTAAGTTAGTATTAGTGAATTAACAGAATTTCTGGTAAGTTAGTGTTGGCGGATTAACAGAATTTCTGGTAAGTTAGTGTTGGCGGATTAACTGAATTTCTGGTAAGTTAGTATTAGTGAATTAACAGAATTTCTGGTAAGTTAGTGTTGGTGGATTAACTGAATCACTGGTAAGTTAGTATTAGTGAAGTAACAGAATTTCTGGTAAGTTAGTATTAGTGAATTAACAGAATTTCTGGTAAATTAGTGTTGGCGGATTAACTGAATCACTGGTAAGTTAGTATTAGTGAATTAACAGAATTTCTGGTAAGTTAGTATTAGTGAATTAACAGAATTTCTGGTAAATTAGTGTTGGCGGATTAACTGAATCACTGGTAAGTTAGTATTAGTGAATTAACAGAATTTCTGGTAAGTTATGTGGCATGTGAATACGCCCTTGTATTTCCCTTTGAAATAATTGTATACAGGGGAACAGACTTGTCGTGCATTAGGATTGCTATCTTCTGTTACCCCAGCCATGGATAAATTGCTCATTCATTTTTTTTTAATATTTATTATTTTGAAATGTTTCCTCTCTCTTGTCATATGTTTTTAGTTCTTTGTACTACCTGTATTTTATGGCAAATAAATAAATAATTAAAGGAAAGTCAGTCAGTTTGAATGTATAAACCGAATTTCTGCTTTGTTAAGTGTTGAATCATCTGTAAAGAGTGTGACAGTGATTTCAAATAATGACCTATTAATGATAGATATACTTCACGTTATATGAGTGCACTGTATGCTAATATTATACCTATTTATTACAGGTGAAGCATTCCAGTCAGTCTTTGTTGACATATTTAAGGTCATTATCTAATAATCAAGAATCCATGACAACGTTTGCTGACACAGTAGTTATGGTATTTGAAGAATATCAGAAAGTTGATAGGTTAGTTGGTTTTAATGTATCTCAAGCGTTTTGTAGGAAAAAGGTATAACAATGCCCTCTGTGTTCAATCTGGAGAAATCTTTTGTTTATCTCATTCAGTGGCACTGCTGTTTCAAAATGTTGTTTATTTTGAATGAGATAATCATAAGTCCAAATTGTTATCACTTAAATATTAAAATGATTTCAATGGCATTCCCATTATCACTCATTATTTTGTTTCCTTGTCTTAGTAAAACTGAACACAACACCTGAATTACTGTAACAAGCTGCCAAATTAGTTTTAAAATTAAATATTTCAGTGTGAGTTCTATGATTCTTATAAGAAGGAATGTCAAAACTGTTTACTCTGAATTTTCAAATTTGTCATTCAATCATGAATTCCAGGCGTCAGTATCTGTTGTTATGTATCACTATGATACAAATGATTGGATAATTGTATGAGTTAACAGCATCGCATCCACCATTACATCAGTCTTTTTACAACCATTTCAGAGTTATTGCCATAAAACTCGCTGGTTCGACTGTTATTTATTTATAAATCAGGATTTATGTTCTGAATCTGTAGTTGAGTTTATTTTGCTCTGCATGCTTTTCTCTCTTTCATCAACAAATAATTTGACACATATTTTGATTCGCATAATGTTTTTGTTATCTGATGAGGACAGTCTGAATCATTTTCATAGAATTGTTTTTCTCACAAGTTCATACCCAAAGGCAAATCAGTCTCAGCCCACGCAGAGAAACATTAAAAGGATGCAGATAATTGCCTTCATTTCACCTTCCTTCACAGACTCTCATTTATTCTGATGTTCAGTAGTGTCTAGTATTTATTTGAGGAGAAATCTTCATTAATCTTTATATGGTCTGTCGGCATTTCGTGTTTACTCGCCAGGCTAAACTGTTGCCTTACTTATTTCCATGGTTTTGTTAAAACTGTGTGAAAGGTTGTCACAGTTGCATTGTGTTTC